AATTAGTAAGACGGGGAACCTCGCCTGGCCACAGATGCACTGTTTTTTTTTTTTTTTTCAGATATAAACGGTCCGCTACTACATCTCCTGCATGAATGTTACGCCTTGTCTCTGTTTTTTGGAAAGATATTGAATTCTAGCTAGATTACTTACATAAGTGAGGCTTTTCACTCAAGCCTCGCCCGCTTTTTCCCGCCACCCACTGTTTGCAAAAATATTAGATGATTTACACGGAATATGCATGGGTATGAAGCCTGTATCTAGTAGTTGCCGGGGCCTGGGATTCTGCATCTGCCAGTTAAATGGGTTTAGTGTCTTATGTGTAGTAGCTGCAAGGGTATGGGATCAGGCGCCCTGTACAGCACTGAATACATCTAATATTTGCAAAGAACTGAAATTGATCGCCTCTCTACGCCCAGTTGCATGGATGTGGCGCTTTGCGTCTGATACGTCCCTGGAATTTTGTGGATGCTCCTACAACAGTTGCATGAATTTAATGTCTTTTGTTTGGTAGTTACAGTGATCCAATATTCTCTCGCTGCTGGTTGTCTGGATGTGTCACCATGCCATTGCGTATTGCAGGAATATGAGATTCTGTGTTTACTATTTGCATGGATGCAATTTTCTACCCTATCAGTATGACATGTTCGTTTGATATTTTTTTCAGCTAAATTTGGCTGCTTTAAAGTATCGGAAGATTTAATCGCGCGACTTGAGCGTATAACTAACCAGAAGGCGCATCCGATGTTACGTCGTGGATTATTTTTTGCTCATCGGTAAATTTTTGAGGATAATTTCATTTGGTCCTCCGAATTCTGCCATCCAGAAGTAGACAGATGACGCATGCGCCAGAGAAAAGAGGCTAGTGAGAACTGTAGGTTGATCAACGCTGTTCGATTCTGACTGTATGTGTTAACCTGAACACTCTGGTAGCATCTGTGCTGAATAAGCAATGAATTTCAGTGATCTGTCATTGATTCTTGATCGTGTGGAGCAGAAGAAACCGTTCTTCCTGTATACTGGCCGAGGTCCGAGTAGTGGCAGTTTGCACCTCGGGCATCTCATCCCGTTTTTGTTCGCCAAATGGTTGCAGGATGTTTTTGATGTTCCACTCATTATCCAGGTAATTGTTCAGAACAAGAGGCACCTTGCACTCCCCACATTTTGCTACAGTTGGCTGAATTTCGATATTTGTAATATACGCTGTGATTTCGTTGGTGGTACATGGTACAGTTGCAAGAGCATACTCTTCCAAAAAAAGCGCTTTGAATAAGTGATTATTTTATAGCTTTATGCCTTACTCCTGTATCTTCACTGGAAACTTCAAAATAAAATCTGTCCTTGAGAAACCCAGTCACTGCACAGATTGTTTCGATTGTGAACCGTTAGTCATATGTTCAGTTTAAGGCATTTTCAGCAAGCGTCATGAATAGTCCTGGAATGGTAGCAAAGGTACCACAGCGCGAATATCTTGCTTTTGCAAAATGGCATTCAAAATGCGTTATCAGTTCGAATCTTCGAATAGAATATTCTCATTTCACTGATAATAAATAGCCCATTCACCAGGGCTTCCGAGTGTTCTGTTTTTGATATTGGATGTATTTTTATTGCTTTTTTTTCAGATGACAGATGATGAAAAGTACCTTTGGAAAGAGCACTCGTTGGAGGAAGTCAAGAAGATGGCCAATGAAAATATGAAAGATATCATTGCTTGTGGCCTTAATCCAGAAACAACTTTTATCTTCCTAGATACTGAGTATATGTGGTTAGCTTTTAACCAATAATCTACTGGGCTTTAACAAATCGTTTACTTGCTGCTCACAGTCAGTGCTGCTTGTATTAATGATTACTGTGCTTTTAGCCCGGCCTTTTTCACAAATGTGCTGAAAATATCGAAGAAAGTAACG